CCAATAAAAATATTAAATTCTTCTTTATTCTCTACAATTTTATCATAAATAAAAAGAAAACATTCATAAGACAAATACAAACACACACACACATGCATTTTTTATTCCTTTTCTTTTTCTTTTTTCTTTTCTTTTCCTTTTTTTTTACATCCATATTACAAATTATAAAAATCCAAAACTAAATAAAAATTACATTAAATAATTTAAAATTTACAAAACAGTCCCTAAAACTCCAGAAATTGCATTGAAGTCCCTTATAGGAACAGTGCCGAAGTGTGAACAGTGGCAGCACGTTTAGTCCACACACTGCCGCTGCCGAAGGTGGCAGAAACAGTAGATCGGGGTCATCTTCCTCTTCTCTGTCTTCCTATGCTGACGGTGGGTGTTGTGATTTGGGTTTTCAAATTGGAAGCCATGATAGATTATGAGCAAAGCTTCCGACAACCATTACTCATCAACCATTGAAACAATAACAAATCCCAACAGTACAATGGTAAACCAACATCTCATGCAGCATATATCCAAATATCAGCCCGCATTAATGGTTGGATCTCCCTAGATCGGAGTTAGACCAAAACTAACCTGAGATTGGCGAGCCACTGTTGAACAGGCATAACACTTGTTTGGATGGGTTTCATCTCATCTCCACCGTTCAAAATGTGCAATACAACCATATGCATCACATATCCAAAACTCAGATTGATCCAACGGTGAATAATGGAGAAATATGCCGCAACTCTAACTGTTCCAAGACTGGTTTGTCCAGAAATATTCAGATGGTAATATTTCTCTTATGGTTTAAAATATGAATGATCGCACTGGTCAGGATGTAGTAAATATAGGGACGTACAACATACTCAAATTTCGCGTCGATCCAACGGTAGATGAGTGAGAAATCATCCAGCGAAGCTGACAAGTTTGAGGGGGTGAGGGAGGCGGCGGCTCTTCTAGTGATGGAGAAGAAAAATGTTAGGGCTTTTTGTGTTTTAGGGTTTCTTTTCTCCTTTTTTTTTGTCAAAATTGCCCCCCTCCTTTTTCTTTGTGTTAAAGGTTGCTATTTGTAGGTAAAATGTTGCTTGGATTTCAAAATTGGTCCCTCAATTTTATTGTTTTTTTGTAAATTTTGATTTTTTTTTATTTTTTTTTTATTTTTTTTGAAAATAAGCAATATCAACATCGACTTAATAAGGAAAATCAACGATTTTAAAAATAAAGCGTTAAAAGTTGAACGCGTTCCAAATATCTTTGAAAATTTAAATTCTTTTGAGATGATGTTGAAAATGCTAAAAATGATGCAAATATATTTAAGTTGCTGAAATGTAGATCCTTTGTTATTATGCCTTGATGTAGTTTGAAATGATTTGGATGAAGTGGACCTGTCACTCCTTGAAGTGGACCTATCACTCCTAGAATCTAATATGGATCCTCGTCGAGGCATGCTAAAAACAAGAAAAAACATAAACATTATCATATGAATATATACAACATAACAATAAATTAGCTCATAGTCAAACTTTCAATAACAAAAAATTCACAGATATTTTTCCAAGAGTGCCATAACTAGAATAAAAACAAACTGTTAAATCTCATTAAGCATTCATTGCAATAAATTAGCTCATAGTCAACGTAATAGTCATAACTTCAAAAAATATTATACTTCAAATAAAATAATTACTGTAACAACAACAAATATATAAATAACATCAAGACCATTTCATTAAGCATTCATTGGAATAATAAAAATCAGCCATGAAGTTTATATTGTCAAAAGCCAATTAACACAAACAATAATAAAAATATAAATCTAAATAATTACTTGATAGGAAATCAAAATTATAAGTATGCTTACCTTAATGTTTGTTCCTATAAATCAAAACATTGAGTAGGAAGAACCCTTTTCATTAATGCTCCAGTATCTATCAGCAAGAAAACAAATCACAAAATAAACTATAACATCAGAATCACAATTTAAAGATTGATACTTCAAAGGTTAGAAATGGTTTCAAAGGTCAATGAAAATAATACATGTAATGTCATCCATAACACACACTTCAATAAAATAATAAAGAAAAAACATTGAAAGCCTAAATATTATCAAATAATATAAAATCATCATACATATAAAAAAAAATATTCATTACATATACTACGAAATATAATTAACCTATGCTACTCATTATTATCATCACTGCTAACCATGTCATCATTATCACACAAAACCATGTTTTCATCGTTGTCATCACCACCACCATAAGAATCATCGTCATCACCATCACCATCGCCATCGCCATCATCATCATCATCATCATCATCTTCTTCTTCTTCTTCATTGTTTCCCCAATTTATGTCAAGTTGAAGCAATTCATGTTGACTGATTTCTTCATAATAAGATGATTCAACAAGTATATTTTGATCATCAAGTGTTTGGGTAGGAAGGACACGACATGGTTGATAAATCTCATCTGATTGATCAACATCAAATGATCGCACATTGTTGGCATCTTCAATAAATTCACCCATGTCAACATTATAACGACTTCTAGCAGTAGTCTTAATAACCGTCCACCATTCAGATGATTTATTACCAGGCGGATATGTATAGTAGACTTGTTGACATTGTTGTGCTAGAACAAAATCTTCATTTCCATGTAGTCGAGATGTATGCTTGATTTCAACCAAACCATTCGAACGATGTACTCTAATCCCTCGCTTTGTATCATACCAATTACATTTAAACATAAATAACTTGCACTTACTCCCCAAGTATTTGAGCCGAACAACTTCTTTAAGCATTCCATAATAATCACGTTCATTATTATCATAGCAACTTCCCTTCACACAAACTCCACTATTCATTGTCTTTTTAAAACGCCCATAACTTTGAGTATGAAATTTAAAACCATTCACATAATACCCATTATAACATTTCACTGAAGTTGAAGGCCCCATAGCAAGTCCAAAGAGTTGATTTCCAATTCCGTTACATTGGTATTCCACCTAGCATAATAGTTAACTTCATAAGAAATAGTGATTTAAAAGAGATTAGTAATCTTTTTAAAGTAACTAATTGACATAAAATATAAATACTTATGTATACTTACATTATTTTTTAACCAATTTGGAAAGATCTCTTCGCATAATTTTTCAATTTCAACATCACTCACATGTGGTTGTTGTGACTTTAGCTCTTGACGACATTGCCTAAAATTTTCAAATATTAAAGTTAATAACAGATTATTATAAATTAAGTACAAAATAATATTTTATACTTACTCTAAATAAGGCTTAAGTTCTTGACAATTGAATATCACATAGTTATGTGCAACTTGCATTTCAGCATGGGACAACTGTCTTCTATAAAATCTTTTGGATAATTTTTTCCCTGGATAGGAAAAAATAGAGAGACATCCATCTACAATGTTAAGGCCACCATCATCATTCCGTGGAACTCGATTCCAAATTGTTTGCACGTCATCACCAAAATAATGAGATGCAAAATTGGTGATTTCATCAATCAAGTATGCTTCACATATGGAACCCTCAACTTTAGCTTTATTGGTCACTTTCTTCTTCAAATAAAACATATACCTATATCATTTCTTAATATTAGTTTATTTTTTAAAATAAAAAGGGAATAAAATTAACATAGTATAAAAACATACCGTTCAAATGGATACATCCATCGATATTGAACTGGTCCACCAACTTTTGCCTCATAAGGTAGATGTATCATCAAGTGTTCCATGGAGTCAAAGAAGGATGGAGGAAAAATCCTTTCAAGTTTGCACATTATTTCAATTATATTCATCTGCATTAACTCCATATGCTGGGCATTTAAATTTGTTGTACAAATATCTCGAAAAAATACAGACAGTTCAGTTAATGCCTCCCATAGTGGCCTAGGTAAGTAAGGTCGGAAAGCAGTTGGAAGAAGTCTTTGAATGAAGACATGACAATCATGGCTCTTTATCTTCAAAATCTTACATTGTGCCTCTTTCACACATCGTGAAATGTTTGAAGCATAACCATCAGGAAATGATAATTCCTTCATCCATGACAAAACTTCTTGTTGTTGTTTCTTGTGTAGACAATAAGTGCCTTTAGGTTTGTAAACCCGACCACTCATATCTTGTTGCAAATGCAGATTTGGCTTCTTACAATATAATTGAATGTCCAACCTAGCCTTTAAATTATCCTTACTTCTATTAGGACAATCCATTACTGTATAAAAAATATTGTCGAAGACATTTTTCTCAATATGCATGACATCAAGATTATGACGAATCAAATTTGTATGCCAATATGGAAGCTCCCAGAAAATGCTCTTCTTCACCCAATTGTGTTTAACACCAAAGCCAGGAATTTTATCATTACATGATGAACTTCCATTATGTCCCTCAGTATACTTGGACACTTCATTTAACATTTCCAAACCAGATGGACGAGGTAAAGGAGGGAGCCTTTCAATTACTCCTTTCAAAAACTTATCAGATTGACATCTATATGGGTGGTTCATGGGTAGGAATCGTTGATGACAATCAAAAAATATAGTTTTCCCTCTATTTTTTAATCTAAAAGCCTTGTTATGCTTCATACAATAAGGACAAGACAGATTTCCATGAGTACTCCACCCTGATAACATACCATATGCTGGAAAGTCACTAATGGTCCACATCAAAGCTGCCCTTAATTGGAAATTTTCCTTTCTGTATACATCATATGTTTCAACACCAACTGACCACAAATTCTTTAACTCATCAATTAAAGGCCTTAAGAAAATATCAAGCTTTTTCCCTGGATTCTTTGGCCCAGGAATCATCATTGTCAAAAACATGAATGGTCTAGTCATGCACTTCCACGGAGGCAAATTATAAACAGTAACAATTACTGGCCAACAAGAGTATGTATTTGAAGACATGTCAAATGGACAAAACCCATCAGTGCATAACCCTAACCGAACATTTCTCGGATCTGATGCAAAGCTTAAGTGGACACGATTAAACTCCTTCCATGCCTCCCCATCAGATGGGTGCACCATAACCCCATTATCTGACGTATGAAAATGATGCCATGTCATATCTTTGGCATGATATGGAGACATGAACAGTCTCTGAAGCCTTGGTGTCAAGGGAAAGTATCGGAGTTGCTTCTCAGCCTTATTGGAACCTTTGCTAGTAGGATTTTTAGGTTTGTATCGTGAACTTCCACAAAATTTGTATTGTGAACTTCCACAAAAATCACGATTTATTTTCATTGCATCTGCCTCATTGTACAACATACAGTAATTAGGACACATATCAAATTTCTTATAACCAAGTCCAAGTGGCCGCATAAATTTCTTGGCATCATAAAAATTTGATTCCAAATTTTCATCATTAGGCATGCAATTTTTTGTAAAATCAATAAAATTGTTGAAGGCATTCTAAGTCAAATTAAAAGTTGATTTCATATTAAGCAATTGTACATAAGCAAATAATTTGGATTGCTTGGTGCACTCATCCCACAACGGCTCCTCTACAGCTTTTAAAAGATTAAAAAATTTAGTTGCCTCCGGATTTGGAATTTCCCCTGCTACCATAGGACTAGACACGTTATCATTATAGAATGCATCACCAACCCCCATTGCATCTATAACTAGATTTCTATATGGATTCTCTAGACAAACATCATTCATAACATGACTCATTCCAATTGATGAAGGTCTAGCTAATATTGGTTCTGCAACATAAGGCTCCCCATGTACTGTCCAATTTTCATAACAAGGTATAAAACCTTTTGTCAATAGATGTTTACAAACATCATCTTCCTTTAAAAACTTTTGATTTTTGCACCTCACACAAGGACATCTAATTTTTCCCCCAGATATATTTTTATCAATTGAAAATGCAAAATTGATAAATCTTCTAACACCGGTAATGTATTCAGGACGAAGGCGACCATCCATAAGACGACGATACATCCATGATCGATCATCCATGTTAATCTAATTAACAGGACAACACCAATAAGTATTTTTAGAAATAAGCATACTTCTTTAACTACTACTATTTAAACAATCCTTTAAAATAAAATATGTACAACATGAATAAACTATAATTATTTGTCCAGTTCAAACATATATCAAGCTAAAAAATGTTAATGATGGGATATATGCACATGT